AAAAAAAAAAAAAAAGAAAAGAAAAAAAAGATAGGAGGACAAAACAGAGGTGCATATTCCCATTTTATAGATGACATAACTGAGGCCCAAAGAGGGGAAGTGACTCACTCAGTGTCACAGTAAATCCAAGGCAGAACAAAAGTCTCCTGAATGGCACTCTTCACTATCACATTACACTGTGGCTCGCAACAGCCCTGGAAGCGAAGCCAGTTGGGGTCACCAGGCACCTAAACCCTCACTGTTTGTCCGCTGGCAGAGAGCCGCTCTTTCTCGTCAGAGTAAGGGGTAGGGAGGAGGCCTTTGCCTGTGTGGACCATGGTCTGGTGACTCCAGCCAGCACAAACCCTTCCCTTGATGGTTGAAGGCTGGGCAAGGGCTTTTTGTGAGATGCTCCTGACAATGTCTTGTTGTTACAGAGCACCTGCTGTGCCTAGCATTCCACCTGGGGCCAAGAGGCTGTGTGAGCAGGTGACAGCCACACAGGCTGTCCCCACACAGGTGGCTGGCCCCGCCTGTCACAAGCTGCTAGGGCTGCCCCCTTGCCACCCATGACAGGAGGTCTGACAAAGACTCCCCACTTGTGAGGTCTGTTCACTGCCTGTATTTCGAACAGGGCCTGGCTCTGCAAACCTGTGCGAACCGTTTTGATACAAGAGCCGACATGAGTGAGCAGAGGCTCCCCCGGCTCAGGCAGCCCCAGGCAGGGTTGGTCAGACAGCAGCCAGGCACGGGTACCCAGTGCAGGTCCTGCTACCCAGCACTGCTGCTGCCTCTCACCTGATTCTCACAGCAACCCTGGCAGGTGGGCAGGGTGGGGTTATCTTATTTTACGGAAACAGGCTTCCCCAAGTCTGTCACCAAGTAACGGGGAGAGCTGGGTGTCAAGCCAGATCTAACCTCCAGCCCAGAGCTGGTGATGTAGAAAATCAGGGCAGATGGCACCAGGATCTAAAATAGGGAGGGAAAAAGACCTCAGTTACGTAACAGCGAGGAGACTCAGCCTACGCACAGCGGCAGCCACGGGGTCCTGCCACTCGAGCCAGCCCCTCCTTCCCTTCCTTTTTGGGCTCTGAGCACTGCCCCCTGCAAGAGAATGTGCTGGAGGAGCCCCAGTATCCTTCCGGCGGGAAGTCTGCTCCGTCAAGGCCGAGGGCAGGCTCTAGAAATGCAGAGACCAAGCAGGCAGAGCCGGATTCTGGAGCTGCCCTCAGAGGGCTCGAAGGTTATATGAGCGCAGCGCTTGAGAAGTGAGTGATGATTTCTGCTCAAAGAGACAGAGCAAGAGGGCTGAGGGCTCTGGTGCTCTGGGGGAGATGAAACAATCCCACAGCATGAGGTCTCTGTGGTGTTTGCAGGCACTAAGGAAGGGTGACCTGTGAGTGGCACGTTCAGAGGCACAGGGTGGGCAGCTGTTGGGCAAGGGGCCAGGGCTGGGACAGGCTGCCAGGACCCCCACAACCCCAGGGGAGAAAGGCCACTCAGCCATCATCGTGCCTGACTCCCAGGCTCCCACATGAGGCACCTGCTAGCCAGGGCTTGAAGCCCTCCAGTGACAGGGAGTGCATTACTTCCTAAGAGGCCATTTCCTTGGTTCAGAAACATTTATCCGAAGACTGAGCTGAAATCTACCACCTCACTTAACGTTTTAGGCACCTGGTTATAACCCAGACCTGCACAGAATAATTTAACCCTTCTGATATAGACTTCCAGATATTTGGAAAGGGCAAGTCAGGTTTAAGAGCGCAGGTCTCCCATTTGACAAGATTTCCATCTCCTGGCTATCAGAACAGAAGGTTTCAGCTGTGGTTATCTAATCCCTCATTCTTGATGACACACACCGGGCTGAATGGTCATTAGAGTCCTCCTCAAGCAGCCAAGCACTTTGAAACAGGTTTACTACCTTTGGTGAGATGCTGACGCTCCTCACATGCACGTGCCCCTCCCAACTACCCAAGTGAGTTCACGGCAAATCTCTCACCTGGTCCTCATAAACAGCTTATATGTAAGGCAGTACCGTTGTTTGTATTTTACAAATAAGGAAACTGAGCCTCAGGAAGGTGAAGCAATTTGCCCAAAATCACAGAGCCAGGAAACGAGGGAGCCAAGATTCAGACCCTGCAAGATCCAGACCCCACAAGATCCAGACCCCGGCCATCTGGCTTCTCTCTCTCTCTCTTTTTTTTTTTTTTTTTTGAGATAGAGTCTTGAT